AAATGGACAAATGAAATAAAGGCACACATTGCCTGCAAAGTGACCGATAATGCTGCAACCACGTACATCGGCCTTTTGAATATTTCTAATGTCATTGAGCAGCTCGTCTTCGCTGGTTGGACTTCATGGTCACTGTGTTGTCTTTCTTCATCTACTGCCGAGTCCTTAACATTGGGATCAAAGCTACAAACAGCTAGTAATGGTAGTACGAACGAACCAGCCATGATCCTGTACATCGTCCTGAAACCATATGAATCTATCAGTAACTGGATAATTGGTCCAAGTGACAAGATGCCTATGGATGAACCGCCAGTAACGATACCAATGGCAATAGCTTGTCTCTTGTGAAAATATTTCGTTGTGGCGAATATGCAAGAATTAAAAAGTAATGACAATCCCAGTCCGTATAGAATGCTGTAGGAGAAGAACACCTGGAAGATGTTTGTAGTGAATGAAGTGGCTATTAGACTTGTTATGCACATTAGAATTCCAAGTATTGCACTGTATCGGATATTGAGGCGGGTCATTACCATGGTGGTCAGCGGTAAGCACATAAAAATAAGACCTTGTGCAGTAGATCCTGCCCACGCTGTAAAATGATAATAGTAAAAGTTAAAACTTTTTTAAGACGTCCGCGGGTTTCTTTTGGCTTATATACCCTGCAAGGAAGAATTTTGGCTTGGGTCCAATGCTAATGTTTTCAATACAATAACATGCATTGCTACTCGTTTTGTTTTTACCTTCCTTATACCATTCGTCTATCTGCTTTCTTGTAACTATCCCATAAGACTGAAAAGTCTTTTAAGAAAAGTCTTTTAAGAAAAGCACAACATCGTTCATTTGTTGGTATATTCATAGGAATAGTCTATTGAAAGGAAAGGGGTTTGAAGATAATAACTGAACTTACCAGTTTTCTCTCTGCTTTCTCTGAAGCGGTCCATAAAGACAGGCATAACGACAGCATAGCATTGTAGCATGCCAAACGCTAGAACAAATGAGAGACCCCCGGAAAAGCACACTAGCCAGGACCACGCGCTGTCTCGTGTCCGGGGAGAATGGGATGGACTACATATACAGCAGAGCTTCATCTTTGGTTCTTCTTCCTTCTATCTTCAGTTAGTTCTGATTAAAAGCTGAATCATAAAGTGATATTAACTAAAACATCTTACACTCTGACATAAGGTAGGTCTCTGAGCCATTATATTTCAGATCAGGAGACCATTACTAGGAGCAAACATCTCCCGTACTGGGTCTGTTAGCGACTATATTCTCAGATCAGTTGCCCATTATTCTAGGAGTGGCATCTCCCACTAGGTCTGTGCTCCCATTTTCAGGTTATTAACCTGAAATTACATAAGCTGGGACAACTGTGCTATGCCAGACAGACAGACAGACAGAAAGACAGACAGACAGAAAGCAGACAGACAGAAAGACAGATAGGAAGACAGACAGACGTGCTATCCCAGACAGACAGAAAGATAGACAGACAGACAGAAAGACAGACAGGAAGACAGACAGACGGACAGACAGACAGAGAGACAGACAGACAAACAGAAAGATTACTATCCGTAATTGAAGACTTTCCAGCTAACCTTTGACATGTCTGTTTTACATGTGATATTCAATGATTTTAGCTGGAAACGATTTACCTTTGAATACGTTGTGAACGTGAAAATATTATAAACACAACAGAATATTTATCAAACGTAAAGCCTGATTTGGCTTTCTAACTCCAATTCGGTGGGGGAATCAGTAGTGTCTGTTTAAGCGTACCCAGATTCAAGAAAATCTATATAAGCGCAGGAAAGGACTTCAAAAGACAACTGACTGCGTGAGAAACCAAAAATGTACGTTGTCTTAAAATACATATGACTGACTAGCGAAGACAGGGCAGAAAATCGGTTTTTGGCCTTTCGCCATAAGGACGGAGATTGTCGCACAAGCAAATATTAACGAAATAATCTCTGCTGAACTATGACGCACGCTGAAATTTTTCTGAATGTCATCACCGCGAATATTTGAGCTACGAGAGACAGCTTGAAGGTTTAAAGACACAGTAGATTAATTGTTTAAAGGTTTTCGAGTACTGTAAGTCAATTATAATACTTTACACATCAACCTACCTTATAAGCTTTCGACTTCGTAAAGATGACACGGCGAACTCACGCTATCTTCTAGAAATCAAAGGCCCTTAGGCGAACTCGTGGATACTTGTTGCACTTTTCGAATATTTAGATTGGTCTTCCTGTGCCCTCAGCTTGTTGACATTCTCAAAGGATTCCAAATATTTCGCTCGATTTAATATTTTGAATACTCAATTTATCTAGTAAGATGAGTAATCGTCCT